TATATATTTATTTATCTACTTATTTTTGTTTTCTTGACACAAGATTTTTTTTTTTTGGTACCAGGGGTTGAACTCAGGTCCTTGCGCTTGCGAGGCAGGCAGCAGAACCACTGAGCTAAATCCGTGGTCCAAGACAAGATTCTTTTTTTGGGTTCCAGGGATCGAACTTAGGACCTTGCATTTTCGAGGCAGGCGCGGTGCCAGTGAGCTAAATCCCCGGCCCAGAGACAAGATTTTACTATGTAGTTTAGGCTGGCTTTGAACTCACTATGTAGGCTAGGCTTTATGGCCATCCTCCTGCCTCAGCCTCCTGAATGCTTGAATTATAGGCATGCGACACCACCCCTGGATACTTATTATAATTGTAATGAAAACCTTTAAATAAAAATTTCCCAGTTAGTAAAAAGTAGAATAGTGTAACTCTTCGCATCTCTATCACTCAGTTTTATCAAGTATTAACGCATAGTCAGTTTTATTTGAAAGATACACCATACACTGATTATTTTGAAAGAAATACTAGAATTTTATAATTAAATGACTAATATTTTGGTATCATGATTATAATTTAACAACTAATTGTGAACTCTATTGTTTAATGACTCTCTCCATTGTTGCAATGTACAATATTGAGCATCTTATTCATTTCTGCTTCCCAGGATTACCTCAGGAACGAATGTAGTAGTGAGAGATATGTTACATGAATCAATGAAGTGTGACTAGAAAAAACAGGCATGAATTTGAAGTGATTAGGGTGTAGCAAGGCACTTGACACATTCTCTTACAGAATCTTTGTTAATAACATAGGCTAGAAATAAGAACAATTAAGTGGGATTCATTTGTTGTTGATTTACCCAGTGGGTTAATGAGCTTGTGATTTTTTATTTTTTATTTTTTTATTTTTGGTACCAGGGATCGAACTCGGGTCCTTGAGCTTGCAAAGCAAGCGGCGGAACCACGGAGCTAAATCCCCTGCTCCAAGCTTGTGATTTTTTTGTTTGTTTGTTTTGTTTTTTTGGTAGCCGGGATTGAACTTGGGTCCTTGCGCTTGTGCAGCAGGCAGCGAAACCGCTGAGCTAAATCCCCGGCCCAGC